CCACACCCACACCCACATCCACATCCACATCCACACCCCACATCCACACCCACACCCACCCACACCCCAAAATAACGCTATATACATTCCTAGACATAGGCCAATTCTTTTATTTAAAAAGAACGGTGACTCGCTAGCTCTTCTGCAGTCTGAGAAACGTATTCCGAACTCTCCAAAAAAGTGACTTTGAGAAAACGAATCAACAAGTTTGTGAGACGTGTAAACGGATGTGAATGAGACAAAAGTAATCAGTGTTATATATATTTTAAATCAGTGTAAAATTCTCTTCTTAAGTGACATAATTGAATATAAAATCTGATTACAATTTTTAATTTGATTATGAGTATCATGACCTCTATACTGCAATCTCGTAATTTATAAAGCATCCTTCTAAAAACTCGCCATATTGCTCTAATTAATTAAAATGAGAGAAATTATATGTATTTACCATTATCAACTGCTTACAAACTTGTTGACCACAGTTACATCTCGGTACTAAGGAATCGTGCTGAAAAACTCTTATATTTCTATACTACTGCTTCTAGGAAACCGCAAGTTTTGCTCCCAAAGACCATGCAAAGTGCAACAAATCGTATAGAATCTGAAAGAGGACACTTTCGAATTTCAGAATATGTGCTTATCTCAAAATCGATTTTTCTGAAGAAAAAATCGATTTTCTAAGAGGAGGGGGTGGGAAGCCCCTTTAATTTTTGAGGACCGAGAGAAGATCGACGTTCGGTTACATCTAACTCGGCAGCAGTAAATGATTTCTGGACCGCGACTGATGTTACTGATCTCGAAAACAGTATCTCAAGAAAAGTCGATAAGAAAGATTTTAGCAGCAATCAATAATAAAAAAACTACAGATAAATGAGAACATAAAGAGTGAATAGATAAAAAAGATGAAATGCGCGATTTGAGCTGAGTATTAGTCATCATTTTGATCAATCAGAATAAAGACAGGACATTATTCCATAGTTCCATTGATTACTATCACCACCTTGCATTTCTAAAAAGAAACTATATCGGAAAGAAGATTATATATATAAAGAATATAGACAAGCCAGGCGTAGTGGCCTGGTTGGACCTCTGGTGAAGAATTATATCAATATGTATTATTTGAATATGCCGAGAATCGTACAATTTTTTGAAATAAAAAGAACAAAACATATTTAATAAATAAGAATGATACTAAAGGATTGTTTTTATATCATTTTAGAGAAAACAAAATTTGGTGTGATTGTGGGTGTGAGTGAGGGTTAAACATCCAAATTTATACCACATCCATACCACCCACACCTAGATCACACAAACAGGTTTTTGTTCCACCTTGAAAAATCCTAAAAACAGGAACGAGTAGGATTCAAAGAAGGACCCTGAATAAAACTTGATAAGATTCTTGAGAATCAAAATTCTGATAGATTTTCCAAGGTGTCTCCAAGAATGAATAGGATTGACAATAGGATAGTCACTATGCAAGAAAAACCATTCAAACATGATAGAAGTTTCTACTATTGAGATTGTTTATGTTGTAATTCCAATCGAAAGAAATCTTCTTTTAAAAGTATCCCTTAGTCGATTCATCTTTTATCAATATTAAGACATTTCTTTGAAATTTGAACTGATCAAAATAAAAGAGAAAGTCTCAGAATCACGAGTGACTCAGTTTGCCTTGATTGTTGGAAATTGATTTAGGTATGAAGAAGTCGCACCGTCGACTCCTTGCATAGATAATGAGATAGAATAGGTTTTTTCATTGTCGGCTTGTTGAATACGTCGTTTAGCGCGTTGCTTCACCATTTCTTTACTGAGCTCTACTTGTTTGAGCCATGATTTTTTGTTGAAAATCTCGGCCTCTTTCAAACAATTGATGGCAGTCGCGCGAAATGATGCACTAGCATGACGCTCGTAAGGTTTGATAGTTGCTTGTTGAATTTTCAAATCGTGACGGCACCGAATAGGACTTAAATGTTTTCTTGTTTGATGATTCAGATGTGATGTATGAGAATCAGTAGTAAGAGTCATACTAGGATTGGTCTGAACAGACGATCTCATTTTTGTTGTCGGTTTCTCGACAGAATTGTTCAATGATGATTCGATTTGCGTCAATTGTTCATAAGTAGCCATGGTTTTCCGTTCTTGGTTATTGGCAACAATATGCGTTGGCGGTAATAAGTAAGTATTGGCAGAAGACAAGTCCTCTTGATAATTTGAATTTATAGTAGTAGAACAAATCTTATTAAAGCTTTGTTTCCATTTGGATTCCACCGTTGGTACATTTGTAGTTGATGTAGGAATCGGTGGTAAAGTATATTTATTCTGGTTTTCCTTTTCATTGACGACAGAGATAGGTGGAGAAGTTTGCATTAAGACGACAGTTTTGTCAATGGTTTTCGGCATTGTTTGAGTTTTTTGATTACATACATGTTGGTCTAAATATAGAACAAGTTGACTGTGAAATACTTGATTACCAGAACATTTTCTCTAGAATTTCTCCTTATGAAAATTGATTGGTAGATATTTCTTCGTCGAGCTAATAGAATTTACCTTTATTTGATTCGAATGTTGTTGGATTGGCTGTGTTCAATTGTGTTTTGGAAACTTTTGAGAGTTTTTCGATATCGAAGATGAACTTTGAACTCTGATGATTTAGACCTATAAAGCTCGAAAGATCTTGACTATTACAGATCTCTGATGGTGTCATAATGTCTTCCAGAAATAGTGGAGAGTTTATTGATGTAAGGTCAGTTGGTTGTTGTTTTGCATTCAACAAGCTATTTTGAGACAAGAATGGAGGATGTCGTAATTTTTGGAGGTTGTTAACTGCTGGAGGTTTAGCTTGTTGTCGTTTTGTAGCACCGAATTCTTTCATATATGTCTTCATTTTAACTATCTTCTCACGTTCTTCATCAGTGTAACCGCTACATCGATCAGCTTGCTCTAATTTCGATTGTCTACTGGAGGTCACAGAACAAATCGGTACATTTGAGGCATCAAAAGTATTGTTAAAACCATCAATCATTACTTTATAACCTAATAAACCTTGACTTTGATAGAATCGTTTGATTTCAGTTGAACTGTGAATGTAAACACCGTATTTTTTCCAAACACGTTCTTGTGCTCGCTCATACCATCTAAACAAGAAAGAAATATATATTTTTGCTGATATTTATGATGTCCAAAATGAGATAGTTATATCGAACTTGATTATTTTATAGTAACGCGGCAAAGAAATAAAGACTTCATGTGATGATGATTGATACCATGACTTGATGTTTGCTCTCAATGTTAATAAACTAGGATTATAATCACGACTAGTATTCAATGGAATTTTGAAATTGAACTGTTTATCATGGAGATAAAAATAGATTTGACTATAATGTTCTTTTTCTGCTTTTGTCTTCGATGATGTAGACAATGATAGTGCCATACGATAGGGTAACAGTCCAGATATTGGATGTGGAACTTGAGTACACAAAACTGATTGTCGTACAAAAAGATCGACCATTTTCATATGTCCTCGTTCAATGGCTATATGAATAGGACATTTAAGCATCTCAGGCATATCTTGTATTGTTGTTTCACTCGACCATTGTCTACATGGATGTTCACCAACTGGACGATCGCTTCTTGCACCCAATCGCAAAGCAGAGCGTCCTAATTCTAAAAAACCTATTTTTAAAAGACTATGACATCAATAGATCAGGTTTCTCACGAATGCCTACCATAGAAAGCTGCAAGATGTAGAGCAATCTGTAGCTGATAGTGTCGAGTAAGATCATCATATGAACAATGCTTTAGAAATCCGTTTATGCAAGAATTTAAGAAATTTTCATAATCACGCCGTACTTTCAAATAGATATGATCGTGGAGTTTTATATCGTACTGAAACAATTTCATTTGATCGTATAAACGTCGCTTATTATCAAGCATTTCCAAACAGAAAGTACTTAAAGGAAGACCAATTCTATCAGATATTTTGTTGCGTATTTCTCCGATGGTTGTTTCAATAGTGATGATATCATCAAAGAATTCGAGTATTTGATTATTATACCCGCAATGAACATAAAGATTGGCAGATTTTTTCTTGCGATACAAACAATGAATAATAGCGCCAGGTGGAATACACAAATCGTTTAAGGACGATGTTGGCTTCAAATCTGAACCATTAAAATTAAGAACTATCGACGTGTTTGCTGGATTATCAACGTCTATCTTGAGATGTAATTTGCGCTGTACTATATCGATGATTTCTTGAACACTAGTACCATCTACTATGTCAATCTGTTTTAAGGAGTTGGTTGGCGAATAGTGAATGAAATATCGCATATTTTTTGTCCAGTTTCGATTCAATCTAGAATAGTCAAATAAAGCACATGTCTATTACATTCTTTCTAAATGTAAGATCGCTGTACTTCACAAAAACACTAAACTATATCGTAAGATTAATTTTTTTTTACTGCCGAATCTATGTTCTCAGTTGCGCATAATCCATGTTAAAGAATATGCAAAAAAATTCAACTTAAATAATCAAAAAATCGATTAAAAACGACTTTAATCATACACCTTTAATCAATAATTTAAGAAGTAATAATCGGTTATTTGAATTATAATGGCTAAAATCGATTTAAAAACGTTTAGAAAATGGATTATATTCATGATATTTGAAATAGCCGATTATCATCTGATTTTGTTTTGATTATTACTTGTTAAACTATTAATGAAAAGTGTATGATTAAAATCGATTTTTTGATTTTTTTTCGCATGGAAAAACCTTTTCTACACTAAACATTGAAATATGAAGAACTTAAAAGAAAAACATGACTGGTAATCTCAACAGAACGTTTCCTTTCTTACGATTTAAAGGTAATATGCGAGAGTGATACACAGACTAATGTGTTCATCATGAAAATGATTGTTGCTACAACATTATTGTTACCTTTAGTTTCATTTATGCATAGATTATGTCTATGCATCGCTTTCTCTGCATTGCCAAGCGCTTAAGTGTATGATGAAGTAAACATTTGCTTAAATGAAAAGAGAATGTAAACAATGACGCGTTGTTATAGAGGAAGAAAAAACTATCCATATATGAGATTCATAATTACCCATGACTTAAGTGCTTATTCTTAAGAGGAGCACTCGAGCGCTTATCTAAAAACAACAAAGTTACAATATAAGGAATTACGATTAAAAATTGAGACAGAAGAAAAAAGAAAGATAGAGAGAAATATTTTAAAATATTAATCGTTTTACAGGTCGACAAGCCTTCTTTTTTCATGAATAGAATAAAATTCGAAATTTGAGAGATACAATCGTAATGAAAAAAGTAATTTCGCGCAAACAAATAGAAGAGCATTCTTTTGAAGCAAATATCATTGTCTCTATTCTCACTGAATTTAATAGAAAGAAAAAAGAATGTGTATTATATTCCAAAGTGTGGATGTGGGTGTAAGTACTCTTTAGACCAACACATACTCACAACCACATCCTCCAATATATGCTTCATTATACTTCTTTTATATTGTGAATATCGACTGTTTTGTAAACTATTCATACAGACATAGAAAAAATAAAATAAAAAACAAATATTGCCTAAATACTCAGTTTACTCAATCAATTCTGTTCTACTGTGATTCACAATCAATCAAAACTGGTTTAGATAGCATAGGTAGATGGAAATGTTTGCTCACCAAAAAATAATCTACCTTGAAAACAGATTTGTTTTAGCAAAGAATTGGATGAAAGTGGAAACATTTTCTGATTAATATAACACTCATGGTACACACAAGCATTGATTAACTTCTAATATTATGACAGATAAACAGTAGAACTCCAAGTTTTAAGCGTTTTGATGTCTGAGCTCTCAGTAAGAGTAATCAACTTACATTAAAAAAAATTCAGAATATTGTTTGAAAAGATTATACACTATCAACAAATCAATAAGAAAATGTTGTGTATGAGTACAGATATGATGACCTAACCTTCACCCATTTACATCATCATCGAGATTCACACTCATACTCTTATTAAACTCAAATGTTGAGATGCTAATTCTTGAAGACTTACCTGTTGGGGTTAACATGTCATAGGTTAGAGTGTCCAGTAATCCAGATACACAAATGCATTTTATTCAACAGGATTCTTGATACATGGTTTTATCTATAGAAAATTTGTATCATATCACATAAAATGGACTAGACATGAAGTTCCTACATCGATTGTAACAATCGACTTTGAATATTTACTATATTCAGTTCTATCTTTTATCTGATGTTGATAAGAAGATTAACTACTTGCATTGCCTTAGAATAATCTAAGGTGAAACAGTTCAATTTCACATATAGTGACAGAATAAACAATATAGAAATGTTATGTCAAATAATAACATAGAAAATCGTTTTAAGAACAATATTGCCAAAGCCGGATGAAACACTTATGAAAATTGCATAAAAGCAATCAGAATATGATGTGAATGAGATTAGGTCTAATTGGTATGATCAAATAAAGCAATATGTTTTTATATTCGAATATCAAAGCTCTAAATCAACTTTTATTTTTTTTTAAGATCACATCTTGATTGTTGATAGCTTTTTCAATTCAAGATCACTTTCATAAGGTCTACATAATCACTATAAAAGATTGATACAAAACTCATCGTTTCGCTACCTTCAAGAATTCATATAGCGTACATAGTCTTTGATATAAAACAAAAAATAATCATAGTGTTCAGACAAATAATATTTTAATTGTAGAATTTTCTTTGACTCTGAGTAGACAAATGATAATCAGTCTCTATAAAACAATTTTCTACTTGTAAATAAAAAAAGAAATCGATGATCAATGAATAATGCATAACCCAAATTATTTTTATGTAAAAGTCGATCACATCGGTGTAATCTAATGGTAGGATAAGAGACCTTCAATCTCTTTGTCTAAATTCAATTCCCAGTACTGATGATGTTCTTTTTTCTTTTCATTTAATTCCACAATGTTTCAAAATATTCTTTGTGAAGGTTATTCAATTTTTCTTATCAAAAAAAGAACGAAGAGAAAAACCTCACCTCTCTTTCTTATTTTTAAATTAGATTTTCGAAGTTAATTCTATTGGGTTGGTAAGAAATTTTTGTCGTTTTTTTCAAAAATTTTATTTTTATTTTTTAAATATCAGAATACAATTATCAATCAACAATGTATGCTCCATTACTGTCTATGACTTGTTGCCAACGCTCTGGTAGAGAAAGGATCCCTTATTCGTGGAAGTCTTGAGACTTTTGGTCGAAGAAGTTGAGAAGATCCATTTTGAGGTCGTTCTCGTCTTCGAACTTTTTCTCACGTAAATGATTGTCGAGAGAACGGTACAGGTGGTAGTCCGTAGGAGCTAAGTCTGGAGAATAAGATGGATGGGGAACAGTGATCCAACCAAGCTTCAATAACTTTTGGCGTGTCGACTTTGCTACATGGGGTCTGGCATTATCATGTAAAAAGTAAATTCGATCTTGTTTTCCTTTGAGTTTTTCTGCAACCCGATCCAATTGCTGGCAGTAAAGATCAGCTGTGATGTTGCAGCCCTCTGGAAGAATTTCCCAATCAATAATTCCTTTAACCCCCACCACACGCGCAGCAGCACCTTCTTTTGGGCGTAGATCAGTCTTAGGCGTTGGTACACCTGCTTGACCAGCGCTCAGCCACTGGCGTCTACGTTGGTAGTTAATATACAACACCCACTTCTCATCACCAGTAATAAGATTGCGGAGCCATTGATAATTGCGATGAGAAGTCAACAATTCCATACAAGCATTAACCTTATATTGCATATGAAGTGATGATAACTCATGGGGTATCCAAACTCCATATTTCCACGTTTTGCCTAATTCGTGCAGATGTGTTTTCACTGTAATATGAGAGCACCCAAGACGCTCTGTTAAGCACCGTGTAGTCAATCTAGGATCTTCTTCGATAAGCTCCTTTAAGAGATCTGTATCCACGTCTAGTGGTCTTCCAGTATGAGGTAAATCATCGAGTTTGAAGTTACCGTTCTTGAACTGATTGAATCAACGTTGCGCTGTACGAATGAAGAGCGCATCATTGCTCATCGTATGGCATATATTGCTTGTTGCTTCTGTTGTTTTGTGATCCAGACAGAATTCATGAAGCAGAAGCAACCGGAGCTCTCTACGAGATATTCTCATTTCTACTTAATTCGAGATCAGTATCTATATCCATAGTTTTATTGTTGTTCGAAAGATATTTACACTCCCTTTATATACCCTTAGTATGGAAACTTCTAGAACTTTCTTGACTGTTCTAGGAAGTTACGAAAAAAAACGACAGAAATTTCTTACCAACCCAATATTATTATTGGTTAAATATTATCTACGTACATTATTCCAACATGCTTTTGCAACTATTGTAACCTAATCATTATCTATTTCAGTAAATAAGACAATTAACGATTGGTATTATAAGAAAAAATCACACAAAGAATTTTAGCACATATTTGTGGAAGCTCTTTTCGACTTTTTATAAATGCTAATAATATTGAAATATTATGAAAAATAATATAAATACATTTTCAACAAACCGTTTTTTATTGTAATACTTTGAAAAAATAAGCTCTTAGTTGAAACAACAAAAACATATGTAAAATTTTATATGCCTATGTGATTCATATACAATATGATAGGTATTCCATGATAAGTAAAAATGTCGACAATATTTTCCTACTTTTTATAAGGTCTTTATTTACTGAGTAAACTTTACTAGGTTGGAAATAATATTATTCCAAGGAGGTATTGCTCTAATTTCATATAAAAGACATAATGAATTTTATACTGAATCAAAGCTGCTAAAAATCGCAGGAAAGAGATAATTGAATAGTTGAAATATAGTTTCAATAATTGATTTCAACTTTCAGGTTTGACACTACTGACTGACACCCACATGTTAACTGAATCGTAATTTCACAGCAGCGAATTTATTTTATTGAGTGAGCATGAGTCACGTAGACGAAATGAAAGTACAACTATATGCAATACAGAAACGAATCAGTTACTAATAACATTCTATATGACTAGTGAAAGAAACAAACAAAAGAAGAGTACGACTTTTTTATATCATGTTGTGCTGTCTATGCATTTATCTAGATATATATACGTATAGAATACAAAGAAGAAAAAAGGTATTCATTTAATTCTAGAAAAATACAAACCACAATTTTATCAAGCATAATTTTATTAAAATTCATACTTATATAGGATTTCGTGTACTCGAATCTCGAGTACGACCGAAACCGTACTCGAGTACGAGTACTTCGAGTATTTTGCCCAGCTCTGTTATATAGTGTATTACTAGTGAAAGAGAATAAAGAAAAGAGTACTCCGGTTGCTATGCCATGACCTGGCGTCTATGTATTTATCTGCACACATATGTATAAAAAAAGAAGAAATCAACTGTTCATTACATCGTCGAAAAACGTATACTGAAATATTATTAAGCATCATTTTGATATAATACATATTTGTTTAGAATTTCGAGTACTAAACCCTCGAGTATGAGTACGAGTACGAGTACCACAGAAACGTACTCGAGTACGAGTACGTACTCGTACTTGCCCAGCTCTGCAATAATTGACATCATTTATTTGCTGTAATGATGGATTTATTATAGAGGCACGTACGAAAACATTAAGACATCTGTTAGGGTCCTTGCCCACCTTCCTTTCTTTATTACACAACAACTAC